AATGCAAGGCAAGTTTGCAATAACCCGTTGACTTTTTTCAGCCACTGGGGTGCCACTTACAGATGGTTGACTGTCTTCAAGATATAGAACCATCCAAATGATGAGTGAAACCTTCATTCAATAATCCCATTGTTTGGTCTCTAGAATATGGCACATCTTGATCTGGACCCCTAGTGGCTTAAAATAGTAGATGCAGCATCACCAAATCCCTAACTACCCACTGAGAATGCCTGACTTTGCCGTTATGTGAGCATCAAATGCATTCCACAATACTTCATGATTTGGGGCAAAATGTAGATGGTCCTGATCATGGGGCTCTTTGAAGGATATTTCTGCTGGAAGGAAAAGGTCTTTTGCTTAGTCCTTTTATCCAGCTGAGAATATGAAGATTCTTCTTATCCAAAGGAAACCATATAATTTCCATGCCTGTCCTCAGGGGCTTCATATGAGCAAATCTGAATCAGATGTGATCTGTCATCCAATCAATGCACATAGCATCACATCTCATCTCAGCTACTGAGTTTCTAATTTTAATTGACTCATGTTGAGGAACAAGTGAAGCTCCTTCAAAGATCACCTCTGCTTCTGCATACCTTCCCTCTGTTCCAGTTTTCTCCTTTTACCTGTTTACCTAAATATCTGAAGAGAAAAGCAAAAGCAGATTCTAAGCAGGTGACAATGCTAGACAGCTTAGGCTCATGATAGGGTCTTGAAGGAAGCAGAAGAGCACCTAACTTTGTTCCAAGAACTTTCATTTTATTTCATATCACCTATTTTAAATAACCATTTTCGTGGCATAAAAGAAATTTAAAAAGAATTTATATGTCATCTTATTCCATCTGACTCATATTTTCTTCCCCAACTTGGAACTGAGAAAGTAATACAAGTGACACACATATATATTTCATAAGAAAGCAAATTTCTTTTATAAAGAAAGAACTGCAAATAAATATGGACTCTGCTGACTCTTCTGGGTCACTAAGAGCCCTGGAAGCATTGCTCAGTGTCATGTGGTGTCATGAGCTGTCACTTCCAGACCAGTGTTTAAACCATGAGGCCAGGTATTTTTATCTCAGACCTTTCAAAAGCATGATGCTAGGAATTCACTTATTGAGGCCCTAATATCTGCAGGACAGAATATGATTCTCTAAAGTCTTTCTTTAAGATAAGGTGGCTGTAGTCACAGAGCTGACATACAGGAAGACAGGTATTGAGAAATCCAATTCCCCTGGTGAATTTTCAGAGAATAAAATCAAGAGAAGCATGCATCAGCATGTGTGTTGGAGTATGAGGGCATTTATGTTATGATAATTCAGTTCACGTTTTAAAAGGTGTTCACAGTGTGATTCTCATAGGTGGAATTATCCACTCTCCCATTGTCTCTCTTGCTCATATTTCACCTGGTCTTTCTAATCTATCACCCACCAGCACCTGCAGTAAAGTATATATCTTTAGCCAGGCTGGACTGAAGCTTAACAGCTAATACAACATATGTGGGTAGAGATTCAAAATTCTCTGTAAGTTTTAGGGTGGGAAGGTCAAGGGTCTCTGATTTTAGTGATGCTCATTCCCCCCAGAGAAAATCTTCCTGTACATTTCCAACTGGTCCTCTGTGAGTATCTACTAAAAAGAAGTTTTTCATAATCTAAATTTAAACAGATTCATAAAAAAGTTGGTTTAGGGCATTAACTAAAATGTTAACAAGCTCATTTTGCTGGTTAAGAAAGGAAACCATGGTAGGCACTTCTAACCTTCCCAAGTTACCAAGGGCGTTAAGTGATATAAAGCATGCAGATACAGACACCTGGCAGTGTCTGCACAAATAAGGTGCTCAAAAAGAGTTATTCTTCAGCAACGGTAGGAACTTATATAGTAACTAACAAATAATGTCTTAACAAGTTGTGATGCTTAAGAAATTGCTTAAACTCTGAGCAGTGATTCAGACAAAATTGCTTATTTCTCTGAGCGGTGATTCAGACAAAAATCTGGTCAAAGGGAATTTCTTGTTTAAATACCAAAGGCCCCAAACACTGGACTTGAAATTACTGTTTTTGGCAAAACATAGATAATCCCTTCAGCAATGGGAAGCTTCTACTTTACATATTCCAACACACACACTGGTGTATGCACCAAGGAGTAAGACAACCCCAACCTACAGCTCGAAAGTTCAGAGAAAGCTATTGTACTGGCCGTATTCAGAAACACCCCTGAATTCTCCACAGTATGCTTTGCAGGGCCTCCTGTGTGTGACATCTTTTTGTCATGTGAAGCCCTATATTGATTAGAAATTTAATTTAGCCACTAGTATCAGAGACCCCAAAATAATTGTGGCTTAAACACATGAGGGTTTGTTTTTCTCATATATGTAAAAAGTCTGACGGTTTAGAGCTAGTATGGCAGGTTGGTGATTACTGGGGACCCACATTCCTTTTAACATTTTGCTCTGCTATTCTTAACACATACTTCCATTCTCATGGTTGCCTCATGACTCAAGGTGGCCAAGGGAGCTTTAGCCATTATGTCCCTGCTTTAGAAGGATGGAATTGAGAAGAAAGAACAAAGGACATAAATGAAGTTTTGTAGGTAAGCACATGGCCACATTCAAAAGTATGGAAGGTCCCAAGCCTCAAGTTATAGAAAAAGAATTTCACTACATTGACATCCACTGAAAGTGTGTTAGGTCTTATTTCTCTTAGACATTTCTCAGGTTCTTCCTTGTTCCTCATGCTATTTCAATCTGTGACATGAATAATGTGCCAAGGGAAGAAAAGCGTCTGGAAATTCTCCATGAACTCCCAGAGTTTGGACCCAGTTTAGTGAATAAAATGCCATGAGAAAATAACCGAAGGACTTCTTCACAGAGGATTGAAGGTTGGCTTGGGGCCCGGTTGGATTAGGCTCTAAAAGGGAGAATTCATGTGTCTGTGTAGTAGTTACTTACAGAGGAGCAGCACACAGAGGACCACAATGTCAAATCCAAATAGGAGGCTCTACCGTGTTGATGTCGTTACATGCCACGTCAGCAAATGACATATGGGTTAAACTTTGCCAACTAGAGTCACTTCCCCTTACTTTTATTTCTTCCTTTTCTCTTTATATCAGGCCCTAATGGTTTCATAATTTTTCCATTTTTTACATTATTTCCCCTACCTATGGCTAACTTCTTCTTTTAGATGTTCTTCCTTTCCTACCAGTAGCAGAGCAGTGGCTACATCAAGGGATATCTGGGGCAGAGGGGTGCCACCACCTCTATAATTCTTCAAGACAGTCAGTGATTTCTGATTTTATGCAAAGTGGCTTGCAAATCTACATGTCCTGCCCTTTTTCAATCACATTGCCCCTCCACTCCAAATTACTCTTTCTCTACAGTCAGACCCAGGGCATCATTGCTGCAAAGTAGAATATGTCTTCCACATTCTCTTCTTCCTGAATGCCTCAGAAATACTAGAAATAGATGTTTTTATTTGATGATTTTATAGTCACCATAAAGAAATAAATAATAAGTAATAAAAGCAAGTAAGATAAAATAGAATTCAAAATCTTGTTTTCTAATGTTTTAAATTAAAAAAAAATTATTACTAAACTACCACATTCAACCTACATTTATTAGGCATATTATGTGTCAGCTTGTGTGCTAGTGACATTCAAGAGAAGGTGTGGAGTTTGCTGGTTAAGAATGGGCAGAAGTAAAAGAGTCCTAGTGTTACTCTCAACTCTACCAGCAATTATCTGACAATTTGAATCACCTTTCTGTCTCAGTTTCATCATCTGCAAAATGGGAGTAGAAATAGTATACACTTAATAGAATTATGGCTTCGAATAAGAAAAATGTGAAATGCTAGTCACATAATAAGCATTCAGTTCATGTTAGGTGTGGTTAATGCCCTCAACAGGTTTTACAGTGGAGAGTAAATACATAGGTAAATAACTAACAGAAATCCAAGTGGCAAGTGTGCCCTGATACAAGACTTCATGGAGTTCAGTGGGCCAAAATAAAGAGGAAATGGCCAACTTAGCAAAATTATCAGGAAAGAATTCTTAGAGGAAGTGATGGCTAAGCTCCATTTTGAGAGTTGTGTAGGAGTTTCCCAGACAGAGGGTAAGGTGGGGGTAGCTGGCTTCCAGGCAGAGAAAGCAGTTGAAGCAAAAGCACTGATGCATGAAAAAGCATGTAAGCATGGGGAAAACCTCAAGCAGCTCCGTATGACTAGAACATAGACTAAAATGAGAAAGGTAGCCCAAGGAAACCAGGGTACAGATCATGTCGGGTCATCTCCTTTCTAGGGGGATAAGTGTTTATTCTTCAGAGAAGAGGGACATGTTAAATATCTTCAATAAGGGAGCAACTCAATAAATAAGATTTATGGTATAAAAATAACACTCTGCCAGCAATGTGACTGAATTGGAGGGAAACATTTTTAGGCCAAAAGGCAATGGAAAGCATACTGAAAGTTCTCAAACTAAAAACTCAACCAAGATTCCTATATCCACAAGAGTTATCTTTCAAAAATGAAGGAGAAATAAAGACATTCCCAGAGAAACAAAAACTGAGAGAATTTATTGCTTGCAGATTGCCTGACAAGAGATACTAAAGAAAGGTCTTTAGCTGAAAGTAAGTGAGCCTAGACAGCAATTCAAGCCCCTTCAAAAAGCCAGAGAGCACCAGTAAGTGTAATTATGTAAAAGACAGTATAAATGCA